GGCATCGAAAAATGAAACAGGCTTGGGAGCAAAAAATATATATATATTTTTAATGTTGTTCTTGGTCAAATTGAAGATTTTGTAAAACACGATCTGTGAAACACGTTTGTATTTTCGCTGCATAAATAAAACCCGGGGGAAGTTGTGTTGGAAGCCGTGGGCCCCACGACGCAAAACAAACCCGCTGCTTCAAAGCCCTTCGCTTCTCACGGGCCCCTCCCCGCGCGATCACATTAATTCAATTTATTTAACACCCGGTCTCCGGAGCCCCCCGAGCGCGGCCTCTACTCCTTGTCTCCGGGGCCCTGCTGTCCCGCTCGGCGCACAGAGATCGCCGGGAGGCCCCCCACTTTCCACGCCGACCTCGCAGGCGCGGGCCGCGGTACCGGGAGGAAGCCACCTGGCCGCGGACCGCCTACGCTCCCCCGGCAGTAAAGTCAAACCCTAAACTTCCCGATGACGCGCCCCTCTGCGCACACCCGGGGCGCCCGCAGGCCGGAGCTCGCCAGATGGGGCATCAGGAATTCATGCGCCCGCGCCCCCTCCCCGGGCCTCGCGCGCCGCGCTAATCCGGCCCCGCGCGGGCGGCAGCCGCGCTCATCCAGATGCCCGCCGAGCGACGCTGTCCCCGGCCTGGTCCTCGCCCCGCGCGCCAGCTCTGCGCTCCTTGCGGGAGAAGGAGGAGGCGGGAGGAGAAGGGAGAGGAGGCGAGCAACGTACCCGGCCAGGGAATGGGCGATCCAAAGTCCCCGACCTGGCGTAGCGGGTCGGGCAGAGCACGTGGCCTCGGCGAGAACCGTGCGCCCCGCGCGCGAGGCCCTGGGGAGCCTCCGCAAGGCCGGGTGGCAGCGCGCGCCCGCGTCCCCGCGTCCCCGCGCCCCGCGCCCTACCTGAACGCGCGCCTCCGACAGCCCCAGGCGCTGGCTGAGCTCCTCGCGCATGAAGGCGTCGGGGTAGTGCGTCTCGTCGAACAGCCGCTCCAGCTCGTTGAGCTGCTCCAGCGTGAAGTTGGTGCGGCTGCGCCGCTGCTTCAGCTTCGTCTGCCCGTCCTCGTCCTCCGACTTGACGTCCTCGCGTTTCTCCTTGCACTCGTACAGACCTGCCGGCGGGCGGCACAGCGCGATG